GATAAAATTCAACTATCAGCCCTTTATTGCCTTATGCGACCTGTGTTAAATATAATTCGTATCCAAGAATTAATGATGGTTTCGAAAGCCACTTACTATGAATATCATTATATTTCTATACATCAATAGCTGTACATTTTAGTCCTCAGTTTTAACATAAATAGCATGAGATATAGCCGGCTAACCTTCTTGAATAAGCTCTGACAATGAAAGGATGAACAAAAGCTCAGCCTGTTTTCATCAAAAATGAGTCGGCTCAGCCGGTCATAAGTGGCTCAACATAGGATAGAACTTGTATATTAAAACAACTCAGTGGCTGCATCAACCTGAATGTCTTAATTTAATCAAACGATTGCAGAATAACAAGAATCCCTAGTATTCTGTTGAGAACGACCCAAGAATCTCTTCATCTTGTACTTTATATAGTATACAAGTCATCACTTGCTTATTCTACCTTATAAATAGAGAAATGGTGTAAACTTTAATCAAATTTTATAAAAATGATAAAGTTTCATTAAATTGTGCAATTTTGGGTGGATACTATTTAAAAAAGAGGGAGGAGTAGACAACTATTCCAAGCGAAAAATGAGCGAAATTGGTATGCAAAAGAAAAGTTTGCTGAGCGGATAAATCTTTTTAACAGAGCAGCACAGGGATAGCCTGAAATGAAGAAAGTGATTGAATAACAGGTCAGACAATGTTACTTCGAATCAGAAAATAAAAGAGAAAATTGAAATGTGTGAAAGTATATATCGCTTCCGAGACTCCTATGCTTACTTCTGGGGCAATTAAATCTGATATAAACGGACTATATCACGTGAGTTCTCCGTATTCTGTACATTTGTATCCCTCTTTAAAATGCAAAGATACTTATTATTCACTTGCCACTTCAAAAGCATTCTTTGTTCAACCTCCTCACCTAGCAAAGTCTCCTTGGACTCCAAAAGTTTGCCAAACTTCTGCCTCGAAGTGTCCTCCTCCAGCTCACTCATCAGGTTTTGCACAACCTCTAAGCGCGCATTCCAACCATCGGTTAAGGCAACTGACGTCTCATCATCGCCATCCTCGATTCTCCTGGGGCCTCCGGACGGTGTCAGAAGACCAATGTCCGACTGTATTTCATTCAGCCGCGCTGACAAGCCGTCTAGCCAGCTTTTCAAATTCCGAGAACATTGCAAAAATATCGAATAGGATGATTGACGCTGCTCGAGCAGCTTGATGAGTTGTCTAGCACGTTTTGGTAGATCAACGCGATAGGCCTGCTTGAGAGTCTCCAAACGCCCCTGAATAATAACATAAAATATTCGGCAGCGAGATTAATACAATTCAACGTATGAGCATTTAAAAGATATATGACTTTTGATCGCAAAGCTCTGTGATGGGTTGCTAAGGCTAATTTCTCCCTCTTCAAAAATCTTATTTTAAACAAATAAAAATTAGACAAAAATTAGCAAGCATGCTACGTACCAAGCACAATTATATGTTCTTCCATTTAGCCTAATAGAAAGGGTGTCAACATTTGCATTCCCTCATTCCTTTTCATAAGAAATTAAGTAATCCTATGTTCATGCATGTGATACTTGTGTATGATTGAATAAGTGCAACTAATGGATTGCTCAATTAAGTCATTAACTAATTTCTTTAATGTGGCTTCAAAAGGCATGTATGAATCACCACTTATTGCGCAATGGATACTACCATTCTCTATTCCTCTGATGCATCTTAGAATGCCGATATCCTCTTCCAAACAAACGATGCATATTTTTGCGGGAAGTTAATACGATTGGTATTAAATTGAATTTGTGCTACTAGGCAGTTTCTTTCGTATAGAGTGACTAGAACGAGATAAAATAATTATACGTTTAAGTCCACTATTCGTGGAGCGATATCGGCAGCCGAAGGTCCTACAGTACATCTCACAGACGGACTGGAGTTTCCGAA